TCGGGGGGGGGCTCAAAAGTGGCCAGCTGGCCAGCTCTTGAGCCCCCCAGGACATGAGGCAAGCAAGGGATCTGCCTGGGCATTTGGGGGCGGCTTTTTTTGCTGCCCCCTGCAAAGTGCCGCCCAAGGCAGATGCCTTGTTTGCCTTGCAGAAGATACGTCCCTGACCTAGACAACTATGTGTAACTGTAAATACTGCTATTCTCTCCATGTATATCAGACTCAGTATGTCAGTGTTTGAGTGCAAGTATTCACATGCACACATTTCACATGCAGTTCGTTACCATGGCAATGGGACACTTTGATTTCTAGGGTATCACACTTGACATTATACACATGTTCACAGTTGTACGCAGCCCCACGCTGACTGCATATACAGATTGGCGGTTACTTTTCATGTTTGTTTTTTCTCTCCCCATTACCCTCTCTTGGTGTGTCCCCCATCCCCATAGTGGTCCCCTCCCTTCCCTGATGTGCCTCCTACCTTTCTTGTAGCGTGGCCGAGCGGAGCAGATCACAGTACAGGGGCTTTAGTTTCCTGTACCCGGTCGGACCGACAGGAAGTGCTCTCTCTGTGAGGATTATGGATGGATTATCTCGGCAAAAGAGAAGTGCTCACTAACACAGATTTAGACAGATTTGTGAACAATATTTGAGAGAAATAGGCCTTTTGTGTACATAGAAAAAGTCTTAGATCTTTGAGTTCAGGTCATTACAAATGGGGGCAAAAACAAAAGTTTTGCGTTTATAATTTTGTTCAGTGTATATTATCAATTCTCCAAGGATATGCAAACTTTTGAGCACAACTGTATTTAGTAGTGTTTCTAATTTTGACTCGTCTATTTTCTTTCATCCTTGAACAAAGCTTCCTCTTTCATTATGTTGATATTATATATCCTCAGCTTGTTTGATTGACTGATTGACTGTCAGGTAGACAACCATTATTGTAGATCTGTATCTAACCCAGCAATGTAAGCATTGCAGTATCTAGTAAAGAACAATGCTTTACATTGCACAGCACCTAGAGCAAAGTGGTCCTTTAACATGTCGACAAATATATGAGATTGTAAATTCCCCAACTGGTTGTTTCTTTTTCTTTTTCATAATTTCTACTCACCGCCCTCTACTCTTCCTTCACTTGATTTAAATACTTTTATTTTACATTTTATTACTTTTATTTGACTTATTAACACCTTCTTCTCATGGTTAATTTAAGGTCCTGGTATTTAATCATCCCGGTAGTGGCGTACACACGATCCATGGGGCTCCGGTGTGAAAAATGATCCATGTTGGCCTCCCAACAGTCCCGCTTTGTGCGGGACAGGGTGATTTTGGTTGGCAATCCTGCTGTCCTGCCAAGCTCTACCTCTGCACGATTTGCCAGGGGCAAGAGTTGGGAGGTATGTAACATATATATTATATTTATATGTCATTATAAGCACGCAGAAATAATGATGCATACATACTACACCAAAAACAAGGGAAGTGAGCTGCACCCAGGAGGGAGGGATTTTCACACACAGGGGGGAAGGGGCTGCACACAGGGTGGACATACACACAGACACACATTCATACAGAGACACATACATACAGACAGACACACAGACACATACATACAGACACATACACACACATACACTAACACACAGACATGCAAAATGTTTAAGTCACCCTCCTCTTACCTACCTTTTAGGTGCAGGAGAGTGACTTCCCTGGAGTCCAGTGGCTCAGACTGATGGGAGTCAGAGTTCCCACTCTGACTCCATCCTCTCCTTCCTGCTCCAGGGCAGCTCCCTGTGGTTGTTGCAAGGAAGTGACTGAGGCAGTCACTTCCTCCCAGCATCTGACATCATCAGAGGGGGCCTGGTCGAGCTGTTAAACCGCAGCACTGTCCGGACACCCTGGAAATTAATTTCCATTGGGTGCCCTAACAGCATGGGCCACCCGATGGGCCCCTTCAAGGCCGGGCCACAACACATGGTGGCGGACATGCAGTCGCAGGGGTCCGCAGGGCAGCCGGGCCCCCTGGATTGACAAGCCTGGTCCCAGCTGGGACTCCTGTATGTATGCCACTGTACACACACACATACATACAAACACACACACATACATACACACACATACATACAAACACACAAACACAGACAGACATGCACACAGACAGACACACACACATACACACAGACACAAACAGACACACACACATACATACACACAGACAAACATACACACGCACATAGAGACACACATACAGAGAAACACACACATATACATAATATTTTAGTCACCCTCCTGTTTAGACTTCCCCGGGGTCCACTGGTCTCTCAGCCTGATGGGTGTCAGAGTTCCCACTCTGACTCCCTCCTTTCTTCTTCGGGTGGCTCCTGTTGTAAGCTGGGAGGAGTGACGGGGCAGTCACTTCCTTCGAGCTGTGATGTCATCAAAGGGGGCCCCCTGGAAATCCAGGCTGACTGGGCCCCCTGGAAATCCATAGTCATAGGGTGGACATAACAGCATGGGCCCCCCGATGGGCCCCTTAATGTACGGCCCTGGCGGTTATACCACATGGGACTGTGCCGCAACACATGGCAACGCTGGCGGGCACCCAATTGCAGGGGTCCGCAGGGAGGCCGTGCCCCCTTGAGTATGTACGCCTGGTGCAATAGCTTGTTGACTCTAAACACAAGATGGGAAAGGCTGAGACTTTCCATCACAAATTGCTCTTATTTTGTTTTGGAATGAAAATAAAATATGATTTGAAGTATGCCTGAACTATTTCCGCCATAAAAATTATTAGAATCATTTCAAAGACTTCCAAGAGTTTTAGTACTATTGGAACCCAACAAATGATGCTATCCTGCCATTAATAATTCTGTCCAGGGTATGTGACTCATGAGAATGCTATCATTTGTTTTGTATTACTTACAAAACTGTGTGTGGCTTTTTGGCATATTTATATAGTAAAAAAATGTAGCAAACTTGAATATCTACAGAAATGTTCTATAAAATTGAAATTCTCCTGTAAATTATACAGCATACGTTAATGTGGGGTATCTTTTCTTTTAAACTCTGAAAGAATAATCATTTATTTAATAAAAGTAAAAATCTTAATTTATTCTGACATAAGAGCGTCACTTAAACCCCTAATATGTGATGGTGTAATGTTTAATTTTGCCAGCCTTACATTTCTTTTGTGACAAGTCTTTTTGAAGTCCATGGAGAAAGTGCAGCTTAGGGAATAGGACCCTGACAGAGCCAAGAGGCAGGTTAGAGGCGGGAGCAGTACTAGGATTGGTGGGCTAGTGTCCCTCATTCTAATCCATTACCTTGCTGAGTTGGTGCAGGCTTGTTGTACACTGATTGGGCCTGGTAAGTTCTTTTTTGTCTTACAGGATGGCTGAGCAGTCGGTGGAGGAGCTGTGGGCCGGCATTCAGGTGGCAGGCAGCAAACGGACTGAGTGGCTGCAGGAGCGGCTGGCGGTGGATCAAGCTGGCCACGGAGGAGGGCACCCAGCGTGGGTGAGGAGCCACCACAGTGCCTTAGCCCAGGTCCGGAGGTGGAGGGGTCACCCACCGGTCCAGCGGGTCTGGCTTGAGCTGGCTGCTCAATGATATCACAAGAAGAAACAATATCGCTAGATACCTAAATCCTTTTGGAATTTGCTGCGTGCATTTTGTATATTCGCCAGTGTTATCGGCGCGAAGTAGCCGGGGATTGGCTCTTCCTTATTTTGCTACCCAGATGGGATCTGGGAGGTGTACAGGACGTATGGGGGCATGGCATGGTGGAAATATGACAAGCAATTCTGTCAGCGACTTTTGGCTAATCCTGGTGGGATCAGATAGACTTGCCTTTATGGATGAAATTCATGATTGCTCAAAAAGCATTGCCCTTTCAGCATGAGTTCCCTGCTTTTAACATGGATGGTTTCTGCTGGCTCTTCAACGAGGGCAACAAGGTCACCCCGCTGTCCAACCTGTGGCTGTCGCCATTTGGGTTGGTCCCCAAAAAGGAGGATGGGAAATACAACCTTATTCATCACTTATCTCACCCTTAAGGGGTGTTCATCAACGATGACATTGCCAGGGAGCTATACTTGGCCTCTTACACATCATTTGACCAGGTGGTTGAGCTGGTTCAGAAGGCCGGGCGGGGGGTGTTGATGGCCAAGGTAGACATTGAAGCGGCATTTTGGCTGTTGCCCGTTTACCCTGTGAGCCATCATCTGCTGGGCTTTTTCATCGAGGGACAGTTCTTTGTCAACCTCTGCTAACTCATAGGTTGTTTCATTTCTTGCTCCTACTACGAAAAGTACAGCTCCTTTTTAGAATGTGTGGTGAAGCAGGAGTCTGGGAGTCGGTTGGTGGTTCTCTGCTTGGACAATTTCCTGTGTGTGGGCCAGGCAGATTCCCCAATTTGCCTCTACCTATTGTAAGAAATTATGATCCTCTTACAAGGATATTCTTTTAGGTAATGAGTGACATAAGACACAAGAATATAATAAATAAGACACAAACACATGTTTATAATAAAATGTATTGTTAATATTAATTTAGGATACTGTTACAGATGTAAAAAGGATATACACATTACACATTATAACCATATCCAGTACATAATCAAAAGATACATAGTAAAAGGGCATTTACATCTACATTTAAATGAAGATCTTCCCCTTGGGTAGATCTTGGGTAGTCTGGGACAGTCTCTCTCAGTTCACCATGGCACCTGTGCTTGCTACGCTGTCCTCTCAAAGAGAGGAGAGAAACCAAACCTCCTTGGCTATTGTTCTTTTAAAGACTGATTCTTGCAGCCCTTAACTACATGTCCCCGAATCCATTTCCCCCTCTTTTCCCAGAGAGTTCCATCTTTACACTAGTCCTTTTCTTTGATCTCTTCCCCGCAGCTATACTATAACGTTGTGTAAGAAGTGACCAGTTAGGATTTGTTTTTGGGCAGGCCTGGACTTCTTTTAGAGACAGGATGGCTTGGGAGAACAGATTCTTCCATGATTACACCTAGATGTTAATTAACCTTAGGTCTCCTGATCTCTGATCTCCTAATAACATGTATGGAAAACGGATTGGCAGGAGAACTGCTGGAGGGATGTAAGTTTTTGTTTTAGCTGGGTGTTGTAAAATGCAACTGAAAGCATTGATCCTTATCACACTGTTATCAAGTAGATGAAACCAAGGTGTGAACCCAGTCACATACACAGAAAGTTTTATACAATATGGCAATTTTGCATATCAATTTCTTACAGTCCCCACCTAGAGGGTGAATGACTCAAAAAGAAAATGAGCCCTCTCAAATAAATACAGTATTTTATCTTGTGTGTTTTGAATACATATGTGTTTTACTGAGACACAAATGACTTGACAACCACATATATTTATAATTTAGGGTACTGCAATGCATAATTTAGCCAAATCATTGAGGCACTCACAGTTATATTTCACCAATAATTTGAACTCCTTTAGCCATATCCGTAACCTTCCATTACCCTCACAGACTCAGCATAGGCTCACTGCAACCATTTGATTTCACTCCTATTACGCTCAGTTACCGTTGCCACCAACACTGCCTCCACCACAGCGTTCCTTTAACCCTGGCCTTGCTTGCTTTGAGCTATTAGGCCTCTGACCTCTGCCCACCATGACACCTGGTGTATTTTCACACCAACATCAGTTAATTTGCTGTTCATTTACATAGTGAATTAAAGGGAGGAAACACAGTTTATTGTTTGTAGTGGGACCTTAGTAGAGGTGTTTGTGCACGTTTATTTAAGTTGTACAGCTGGAGTGGGTTTGTTTTTGAGCCCTTGAGGATTATTAATAATTTGTCGTTAGGCCCTTGGCTTCCGGAAATTAAAATATACTTAGCACAGAAAGTGTGCAGTGTTACATTATGCAAATCACTAGTGATTTGATTATAATCCTTGTCTCAGCATTACCATCTGGATTCACAAGTGGTCATCTAAATCGTAAACACAAATGTGAGCAAAATGCAACCATTCACCTTAAAGTGTACCAAGGAATACATCCTCATAACAGTTTAAAATAATTTACTATAATCTTACTAAAACAGAAATAGAAAACAGAAAATTGGCATGTGCGTATGTATTCACCCCCTTTGTGAAGCCCATAAAAAGCTCTGGTGCAACCAATTACCTTCAGAAGTCACATAATTAGTGAAATGATGTCCACCTGTGTGCAATCTAAGTGTCACATGATCTATTATTACATATACACACCTTTTTTGAAAGGCCCCAGAGGCTACAACACCTAAACAAGAGGCACCACTAGCCAAACACTGCCATGAAGACCAAGGAACTCTCCAAACAAGTAAGGGACAAGGTTGTTGAGAAGTACAAGTCAGGGTTAGGTTATAAAAAAATATCCAAATCTTTGATGATCCCCTGGAGCACCATCAAATTTATCATAACCAAATGGAAAGGACATGGCACAGCAAACCTGCCAAGAGACGGCCGCCCACCAAAACTCACGGACCAGGCAAGGAGGGCATTAATCAGAGAGGCAGCACAGAGACCTAAGGTAACCCTGGAGGAGCTGCAGAGACTGGAGTATCTGTACATAGGACGTCAATAAGCCATACGCTCCATAGAGTTGGGCTTTATGGCAGAGTGGCCAGAAGAAAGCCATTATTTTCAGCAAAATTTTTACTTTTTGTCCATCAAAGAAAATGCTATGTCTGGCGTAAACCTAACACATCATATGACCCAAAGAACACCATCCCCACAATGAAACATGGTGGTGGAAGCATCATGCTGTGGGGATGTTCTTCAGCAGCCTGGACTGGGAAACTGGTCAGAGTTGGGGAAAGATGGATGGTGCTAAATACAGGGATATTCTTGAGCACTCTGTGCGTGATTTGAGGCGAGGACGGAGTTTCACCTTCCAGCAGGACAATGACCCCAAACACACTGCTAAAGCAACACTTCAGTGGTTTCAGAACCGCATTTTGTGATACAACAAGCGTTTAAGGGTTTCCAGAGAGGGAGCAAGACCAAGGACGCCATGAGACCAGTTTCCATTTCGCTCCTGGAAAAGCTGGTGTTTTCCTACCCTGTCATTTGCCTTGACGGCTGCGAAGCGAGTTTGTTTGAGGTGGCGTTCCTGCTGGCCTTTTTTGGTACTTTCAGGATCGGGGAGTTGGTCAGCGCTAATCTGGAGAGTCAGGGGTTGGGGGATGCTGCTCATGGACGTTCGTGTAGAGGCCATGCTGGTAGTAGTTCATTTAGCCCGGTCCAAGATAAATGTCAGGATTCCCTTTTTGCCTGGTCGCTAGTGCCACCAGATACTTATCTCTGCGTCATACAGGTTACGGTTCATTCCTGGTACATGTTGACGGTTCCTCGCTTTTCCGTTTTTAGTTTATCAGGGCTTTTCGATTAGGACTCCACAGATTGGGGTTGCAGCCGAGTCAGTCCAGGACACACTTGTTTAGGATAGGGGCCACTATGGAAGTGCTGCGGTTGGATTTGGGTGGTGAGCTTGTGAAGAAGATCGTTCGGTGGGAATCAGTCCAGTTCTGGTCCTACGTATGACTTAACAAACTGGTGTGAATGCTTGAAAAGAGGGTCTGTTGTGGGGGTACCAGGGCTGACATGTTTCTCTTGTTCGTGTAGGTCAAGTGGCTTGCATCGTGTGCCATTCCTTCATCTTCTGGGCCAAAAGGAGAGCTGCTCATTTTCAGGGTCAGCAGCTTGACTTTCCTAAGGACCTGATTAGGTTGCTCTGGTTTGGCTACCGGGGCTACAGGTGGCAATAGGTTTGCAGGATGGTGGCAGGGGCTGGAGGCCAGATTTGAAGGTTTTGCATGCAGTAGGTAATTACCTTGGTTAAGAAAAGAAATGGTAAGAGCGCTCAAATCAATGAAAATGAAATTACCCAAATTGAAATCAAACTCTGCAAATGAAAATAAATTGAGAAGACATATGGTAATAACGTTTAAAATAAAACACTTTAAAATTATATGTTAGTCTCACTCACATAAGTGGAGCCACTTATAAAGCTGGCTCAGACTGCATGCCTTGAATGAATCACGTATGGACTTCAGCTGGGTCCTTTCCAAGATTGTGTCTATTGTACCACCAAAAACACCGGTTCAGGGGGTTACAAAACTTTAATTATCCAATTACAGGAAACAAAATTAAAATGACAAAAAATGCAAGGAAAGTCCCATAAGTAGAAAGTCCAAAATGCACCTGACGCGTTTCAGCAATGTGCCTTCGTCAGAGGTGATACGTGTGAGTCTGGCATGCAGTATTTTAAATCCCTTCTTGGCGCACTTTTCGCCGCAATCGCGGCACTTTACCTTCGGCGTCAGGTGCATTTTGGACTTTCTATTTACATTGTCACATTTATACACCAGTTATTGGGTTACAATCTTGCTTGTAAACTAATTGTAAAAGCTGCATAAGTATGCTGAACCATTCCGCACAACCTTAGTAAGGATACAGCTGTGAAGAAACTCTGGCTCACTATGCTGTCACTTCTGAAACACACTGGAGAAAATTCAGAGCGTTGCGAAAATAGAATCAGAATTCCCACATTGAATGGGCTTACAAATTACATAGGACTGGGACCAGTGGGTTCCAAAGATGCCAAGTCAACACAGCAAAGAAAGCCTTGCAATTAGTCCTCCTAGCAGACTCCGACCTCTCCTTCACCCCTCATGTCCAATCAATCGCTAAATCCTGCTGCTTCCATCTCAAAAACATAGCATGAATCCATCCCTATTTAATGCCTGATAAAGGTGCTTGTCCATGCTGCTGTCCCCTCTCACCTTGACTACAGTAATCCACTTCTCAGTGGTCTTACGCATTCCCAGCTTGCCCTGTTACAGTCTATAATGAATGCGGCGTCAAGGCTCATGTGTGAGGATTACTAATTGATCCCGCACGTAGAACTGTATCACACCTAGGACTAAAAATAGTCAGAATACTTGCCGACGTCAGGGATACAGAATCAGACACAGCGATGAGAAAAAGCCAAAAGTCAAGGATACCAGAAATCAGGGAAGTCAGAACGAAGCCAAAGTCAAATACCAAAAAATCAAGATCAGGAACGCACTCTCGGATTACCATCAGTCAGAAACCACGACACGGCAATGAGAGAATGTAAAAAGTAGTTTAAACAACTGATTGGTTGTAACCGGCCTGTGAAACCAAAATGTCACACGCACGCCGACGTCACCATCAGCGTGGGTGGCCATGGGGCTATAAAGTGGCATAGATCCGCAGAGGCCGGTGTCCCTAGACATGCTGGGTTTATCAGGTATCCAGGCGCATGGTTGCAGATAGGCCCAACTATTCCTTTCAGGATGGTAAATACCCTCATAAACGTTTCTATGTGCGGATTAATCCGTTACATTACCTCCCACCTGAAGACCACCCACTGGGCGGGCAGGACCCGGTTTGAGAGGTCTACCAGGTATTGCAACTAAGCACAAGAGAACCTGGAATCTTGACCAGAAACAACCAAAGGAGGAGGGGGGAATCACCAGGACTGTATATTTATTGAAAATTAGTGGTTTGAGTAAAGATACATGAAACAAATTAGGAATGCGTAAGGATGCAGGAAGGGCCAGGGAATAAGAAACAGGATTAATTCTCTTAAGGACAAGGTAAGGGCCAAGAAACCTAGGAACAAATTTCATGCTAGGAACTTTCAATCTAATTGAAAGTAATTGCGTGTTGTAATTGCATTGTTGGTGCCCTACCAGGTCCCATACATTCCTCCCCACTGCTTAGGAGATAATTGAGTTAAGTGGTATATCAGCTCAATTATCTCCAAGCTAAAAAATATACTTTTTCCACATTTTTCATAACTTCAAAATTACACACAATATTTTAACAAAAGTAAAATTTTCACAACCAGTACATTCAGGGGAACAACATATCCAAAAATGACACTAATTGGACCAAGGGTTCGGGAGTTAGAGAAAATGTGGATGTGATCGACTGTTCGCATGTTTTCTCTGCCCAAAATAGTTCCACAATTTCAGTCTCTGCGGTCGGTCTATCTTCCCTTGGTTATAAGTATAAAATGCACGAACGGGGCCATTCGTGCCGACCACTATTGGATGCAGCTGGTTCGGATGAATAACTGTACCAATTAGCGCCTCGTTCGTATGATTTTAGTAGAACGCACAGAAGATAGGAGTTCAGCGGTGTTCGTGGAAAAAG